ACAAACGGCTGCTGAAAAAGCCGTCTCTGTGATTGGGTTAGGTTATGATTTGACAAGTGATATCCGGTTGACGGCCTGTAAAATCGGACCGAATGGGTATGGTTTGATAGAGATTGATCAGAAGTCGACCAAGGACCTGCTGGTGCCTGGTGGGGTGGTGGTTTCTAATGTTTCCACCTCTATCAAGTGCGATAAAGGGGAACGAACTAGGTTTCGCTCTGATGCTCTTTCTTTTAGTCAGGTAAATTCGTTGTTTCAGTTTTTTCATTTCAAATTCTTTTACAGGTATTTATTTTTTTCCCTGAAGCGTTTGATATGGGTATGAATGGAAAATGGGAATTGGATAATTGAAGGTTTTTTTCTAAGGATTTTGTAGCTGCTGCTGTGCTAAAAAAAGATCCGAAAAATGATGGTGAAGAGCTTGTAATCAGTTTCAAATTGATGGTTTGACTGAAATTTCATTTCTAGGAAATGTAATTTAACTATAAAATGGGACTGGAATTCCTTTTTTAATGAAAAGAATGAAACTTTTTGTGTTTTTCTTCCTAATAGTTGAGTTCGAAGATTTTAAATTAATTTTTGTTGGTGATTAACTGATGTTCTTGAGCCGAGGGGTCTATTGGAAATAACCTTTCTACCTGCACAGGGTAGGGATAGGGCTGGATAAACACCACCCTCCTTAGACCTCACTTGTGATCACAGTAGGTATATGGTGGTTGTTGATTAATTGATGTGCACAAAGAGAAACAGTAAATAACAGTGTTGCTATTTCAAGCCTCATACTTGAAGAAAAAGTAATGTAGCTACATTCTGGTGAGTTAGGTACAATATGGATAGAGGCGTTAAGCTATCTAGACTTGGGTAAAGTTTTTTACTGTTCACGTTGTTGCCGTGTGAAGGTTTCTGGTAATGTTTGGTCATACAATAGGTCTTCTTGAAGTATTGGTTATTGGATAATATTTTGCGCAGTTCGCATAGTCACGTAGTTGCATGTGAAGGTTTCTGGTACCCTTTTGTTCATAAAATAGGTCTTCTAGAAGTATCATTTATACATGATTGTATGACATGTACGTACATCAATCTCTTTGGCTTCTGGAACTTTGTCGCAGTTCAGTTCAAATTCAACATTGATATATGGAGATTGGAGTTGTTAAATGAGATTTGTTTTACCTATGCTGGGGGTGGAGTGAATCTCCTTTTTGTTTCTTTTAAAAGAAAAAAAAATAATATAAGAGGTTCTTTCCCTTTTCTTCTGGGGAGTTTTTAGTTCTTTTGTGCATTTATGAGCAATCATTATGCTTTCCATTTGATAATTGCTTGGGAAAGATGACTTTTTGGTGCCTGTCAAATTAAGTGTTGAAACTTGTTTTGCGAAACTCCAATACTCATGGGTCTTTTGATAATTCATTTCAGCCTAATGTTTCCTGCTTCGATGTGCATATCTGACTAATCTTACCTTTTCTGCCCTATCATCTGCTCATTGCATTCAGATGTCAGAGCAATTAAATCAGGAGCTGTCCCTGTCTGGTAAGATACCTTCTGGGTTGTTTAATGCGATGTTTGGTCACAAGGGATGCTGGCAAAAAGATGCATCTTCGACAAAGCTTCTCGCTTTTGATGGTTGGTTCATTACCTTGTACAATATTGAGTTGGTGAGATCCCATCTAACACTGTCTGAGCAAGTAAAACAAGACGTGCCTTCTTCTTGGGATCCTCCTGCACTTGCAGAGTAAGAATTTCTAATCCATAATCATTTAAACAACCATCTTTTGATGTTCCAGGATATTATAGATAAAGGCTGTATGTTCAAAATCTCAAGGATATATCTGGTACATGCTCCATTATGAAATAGGACATTAAATGAATTAGATTCGCAGGAGGTCTGAATCAGGGTGCTGCGAATTTTATTACAGAAGCATCTTTTGCCATTTTATGCTTTGTGTTTGGAAACTAAGGAAAGTAGAAAAACTGAAAAGGATGATATCACGGAGAAAGAGAGAGATCTGAGATTGTTTCTTTTGGTTGGGTGAATTACATTAGGATATTTATTTAGAGTGAAAATCTGTGTCTTCCTTAATTTTCTTTCCTCCTCCTAAGTCGAAAGACAAAATATTCTCTCCTATCTGTTTCTATCCAAAAACACTGTCAATGCTTTCCGCCTTTCTCTATCCTGAAGTAGTAAAAACTTCAATAAGGGAAAAGGGAATGGATAAAGAATGACTGAAGAACTCAAGAGAGTCGCTATGGCTCTGCAATTTGGACATGGGAAAAGCAGGCTTAGACAGTTTATGGAAATCTTTGAATTTTACTGCTTCTGATTTTTATTTTATCTCCTCCACTGGTTTTCTGTGCCTTCTTTCTACTTGGAAGGTTGACATAGCTTCCTATACATTATACCTTATATACTAAGGTGGAAAATAGTGAAAAATATTAACTGTGAAACCAATTGTATGATTTTCCAGGTTTATTGAAAAATATGGCACCCATATTGTTGTCGGGGTAAAGATGGGAGGTAAAGATGTAATTCACATAAAGCAACTGCAAAATTCCGTTCTTCAGCCAATGGAGGTGCAGAAATTACTCAAGCAATTAGCTGATGAAAAATTTTCAGAAGACATAAATGGATGCCAGATAGCAAAACCTGTTAGATCTGTTGAAAAATCAAAGGTATCTCACATCTTATATTTCAATCTGTAATGCAACTACTTTTTCTTTTAATATATAGCTTGTTATTTTGGTGCACCTTCTAGACAGTATAAGCGTGGGAAGGGGGTGAATAATGTTTTGACTAATGTTCGTCCTGTAATGTTTTGCCCAACTTCATAGTAAATAGTTGAACTTGACTACAAGGATTATATTGGTTCAACCTACTTCTATATCAACAATTGCGGAAGCAAATAAGTAAGAATATTTTACGTGGAAAAAGTTGCTGTACAAGGGAAGTAAAAAACACGACTCACATTGGTAGTACTACTTCCAGAACTTCACTAAAACTAATGAGAAGTTTTAGACTATTGGTTATAATTCTATAACCTTAGAGACTAACTCTAGCCATGAACAACCAACAATCACTCTGACCGTAGCTACACCTTCAAGCTAACTCTAGCGTAAAAGTACTAAGTTTCCTCTCAAAAGGTCACCTAACAACACTGCTTCTAGAATAAGGAAATTATGTTACAAATCCGAACACTTGCTACAAGAACTAGACAAACTGTAGAAGTTGATGAAACTTCAACACTAGTTTTGGTTCTTCAGTTTTATCTCTTTGTGTTGACATGAACTTGATTTTTTGCTTTTGCTCTAATGATACTCTCGATGTGAGAGCATAAATCTGCAAGAAAACAATTTCTACAACATATAGAACACAAGTCAACAAGGGTTAGTGAGAACATGAATTGAATAAAATCTTCAAACCCTAGAGTATAAAGGAAGGATTAAAGAAAACACATAACTTTCCTTAAAAGAAGTTAAGAACTCCTACTTTGGCACCACTTCCTTGTGAACTTGGACTTAACATTAACATGCAAGATCTTCCAAGATCCTCATGTATTTTGGATGTTAGGTCAGATCTATCTCATGATAAAACATGTTACGTGTTAATATCGGAAAAGGGTTTTGTGACTTAATTCGGGATCTGGGTATGGCAGCATTTTTTCTCCTTTCAACTCACCCTCACACTTTAGGATGTGTTTTGCTTGCTAAGCTAATTATGTCATTTCCAAAATCTTTTGGAGGATAGTTATCCCATTTTACTGATGAGACTTGGATGATTGATGTGCTTCATGGCTGTTCAGGCATCTAGAAGCCATGTATTGGGGTACTACATAAGCTGCAATTCAGAATAAACCTCTATAGATTCATATATATTGAGAATGATGCTGGCTCTTATGGTGTCTGTTGGTTCTCTTTGATGAAGGACAATCAGAGTGTTTCACTGCCTTCCATCCAATTAGTTTAAGCTAGTCTACTATCTTCTAAGATCGAGAATGATTTGACTAGGCTATTACAATCGAGATATATTAATATGATTTTAGAATTTCTTGAAATGGTAAAAAGAGCTACTGTATATTCAATTGTAACACCATACTCCCTACGTTCCGATTTGTACGCACATTTTGGATGTACACCAAGTTTAAGATAGAAAGGAAGAGATTTTAAACTTGTCATCTTAAATATATCATTATATTTGTGTCGACACGAGACTTTTGAAAATCGCTAAATAACTTGTGTGGCTACGAATGACTTGTCATTGGGGATAAAATGGGAAATTCTAGTTAAAACTTTTTCCAAATTTAGCCCAATCAAGACAAGTCTGCCCTAATAGAGGGTGCTGTGGAAGAAATTAGGCACTGATTGAGGCGAATTTAGGGAAGTGCCACTCTTTTTGGATTGGGCTAGTAAAGAAATAACGTCGTAGTGTAATGTAATGCTAAATCCGAATCTTGTAAAAACATTTATTTGCTAGTGATCAATCTTTTCAAGAGAAGGTAATACTGAAATCTGGACAAGCAAAATGGGGTTGAGGGATTGAAATCTATTGTTTGTTAATATAACTTAGACACTAAATCTACAAGCCCCAAGTCATAATTGTGATGGAACAAAGTTATGTATGGGTTAGTCAAACAAACTTAGGGTAAATAATGGCATGCCCATGGATTTCTCCAGGAAAGGTAAGCAAAATGGAAACAATATGTTCATTGTAAAATTTTGTTAGAAGTTATTTACACAGATCAAACAAAACAAATAGTCTGACAGGAGTTCCAATTTCTTACACATGACAGGGCGAAAAATCAATATTCTCAGATCCGCATCTACCATTTGCAAACTCAATGAGACCATCTATTATGTCTTACTCCAAAGCTGATGTAAGTTTGTTTTATTTCCTCTGAAATGAATTGCTATGTCTTCTGTTGATAAGCTCTTTGTAAAGGATTTGGATTTGAATTCTTCACGCAGGATCTACTAAGTATTCATATCCGACGAGGAGGTCTTGATTTTGGTCAAAGTCATAGCCAGTGGCTTCCTACTGTATCACAGTCCCCCAATGCTATATCAATGTCGTTTGTGCCAATCGCTTCACTTTTGAGTGGTGTAAGGGGCAGTGGATTTTTAAGCCATGCAATTAATCTTTACCTGCGATGTGAGTATGTCTATTTCATTGTTGCTTTATTCTTCTGGTGGAAATGGTGTTCTTCACCGAGTATACCTGAGGTTTTGGCTATTTCTGTGAATATTATGAGAATTAAAATATCGACAAGATCTAGCTTATTCTCTTCTCCCTACAAATTCCAGCACGACAGACGGAAGGAATGGAAAATGAGAAGGGAATAATATGCACAGCATTTCAATTGAGATTTTTTTTTTGGAATCAGCTCTGACCCTTAGTTTACCTGATAAAGGCAGACAGATAATTCACTCACTAGTGATCATTTGCTTTGAATTCATCCTTCTTATCTGCTTGGATTTTTGAGCAGCAATACAGTCTTATACAATGAATAGATTGTTGTAATTGATGCTGACGTAAAACCATTTATTCTTTTTTTCTATATGATACAGATTGTCTTTGAAGAGATATTAATGAGCCATTAAAGAACCCTAATTTCCCACTTTGTAGGATTTCATTGGGTTTATTGTTGTTGTTGTATTAGAGAACCCTAATTTGCCAAAAAGAACTATTGAATATTGGAATGTGACTGTTCCAAATGAAGGAAATGGCTATCGAGAACACGTATAATTTAATACTAACTAGTTTGGGATTTCACCACAAAGGGATATGGTGGGATGGATGGATGAATCCCTCCTCCCTTAATTAGAGGTCTCGGGTTCGAGCACGGGGAATGTGAAAATTTCTAGTGGGGAATGCTTCCCTCTTAAGTGGACTCTATGACTATGTTTGCACGTATCAGGATTAGTCAGGTCAGAGTTCTGGATAGCTGGTTAAACAAAAAAGTTTGGGAGTTGTAGTTGTTGCTATTTTTTATGTATTTCATAAATATAAAAATGTATTGGAATACAATTAGGCTATTTGCATTAGCTTATTGAACAAACAAAGCATCACTGGATTGATGACAGTACAAAAACAGTTGAAGAGTTCTATCACGTGGACAATGAACAAAAATACACACTCGATCTTACAAAAAGTTGGGTAAAGCATTTTGGCAATTGGAGAAGTTATCCTGCTTCAATCTGTGCTTTCAGTTTCCATCACCAGTTTCTGTAGAATTATTTGGGTTACAAATCCTATCTTTTTTACTTGATCTTTGCAAATGTCTTCAGTTTTGTGAGAGCAGAACACGTGACTATTACACTCCTACTCTGTGGAAGCCCTCCCACAGTTTAAATATATATGACTTCTATGAAAGAATATCTTTCTTTGTGTGTTTTAGGAAGATCAAATTTGTTTTCGTGTCAACAGTTGTGAAGTTCTTTTCCATTTATTTCATTTAGAGCTATATGACTATTAACAGCTTCTTATCTCTGATAATGAATATTCTTTTGCAGATAAACCACCAATCGAGGAACTTGAACAATTTTTAGAATTTCAGTTACCTCGGCAGTGGGCTCCAGCATATGGTGATCTTCCTCTTGGTCATCGCCACAGAAAACAGGCCTCTCCATCCTTGCAGTTCACTTTGATGGGTCCAAAGCTATACGTTAACACTGTAAAGGTATTTCTTCATATGTTAAGAGTGTGAGAACATCAAGAGAACTTTTTCTCTAATCAGGATTTTCAAGAGCAGCATTTTGATGTTTTTTGTTTATCAGCAGAGACCCAATTATAGTTTAAAATTTACCCTTTTCTCCTTACTTGGAAGGAATAAAGGAAATGCAGCAAGAAAAGTTCTTTTCTATGCCTTTCAAAATGTGCATTGACTAGTGTTGTTGTACTAGTTTTAAAATTCGGAAAGGCGGTGCACTGCTTTATGAGTTTTGATTTTGATGGCAAACCTTTATGTTATTTCTCCTTGATCTATTTTGGAGTAGTAGAGTTGATCATTTTCTCGACTTGGTGATTTAGACCTATCAAACAATTTCTTGAGAGCCTGTTAAATCCTTTATCCCTCCAGAGAACAACCTGTGCTTCAACTTTCTTTTTGCTTTAAATAAGCATAAACTATTACAAGAAGATGTGACCTGTTGTTGATTTTGATCTATGATCAGCATTTCTAAGATCTTTGAGGGCTGAAGATTAACGTAACTATAATTAGATAGTTTTTTATTCTGGGAACATCTCAGTTGAAGTGGGAGCTCTGAATGATCTTTCTTTTTCTCCTCTTGCTAAATATTTGCAGGTTGACTCTGGAAACAGGCCAGTAACTGGAATTCGGTTATACTTGGAAGGTAAAAGGAGTGATCACCTGGCTATCCATCTTCAACATCTATCAGCACTTCCTCAAAGTATCCAACTAACAGATGATCTTAGCTATGAGCCTGTCGATGAACCAGTTGAACGAGGGTATCTTGAACCTGTCAAATGGAGCATATTTTCACATGTTTGCACCGCCCCAGTAGAATACCGTGGAACACGGATCGATGACTCTGCTTCTATTGTGACCAAGGCCTGGTTTGAGGTGAAGGTTATTGGAATGAAGAAGGTCCTCTTCCTGAGGCTGGGATTCTCGATGGTCGCCTCAGCGAAGATCCGTCGGTCAGAGTGGGAAGGACCAGCAACCACATGTCGAAAATCAGGTTTGATCTCAATGCTGATCACTACCCCATTCAGTACAAAGCTAAACCAACCCCAGAAGCCAACAAAGGTGGACTTGAATTCCGCGGTTTATCCTGGTGGTCCACCTTCACCAGCAAGAGCGCCAAAGATGTCGCACTTTGTTGATACAACAGAAATGGTAAGAGGTCCCGAGGAGTCCCCTGGTTACTGGGTGGTTACTGGTGCAAAGCTGTGTGTAGAAGATAGTAGGATAAGAATGAAAGTGAAGTACTCCCTCTTAACCATACTTACAGAGGAGTCATTGTTGATATAAACGATTGAAAGATTTCATTTCAAGCTTTATCCATCTTTCTCTATAGGACATTGTGTATATTTCATCTGATATTTGCGCAGATATGCAGAAAGTGTTATAGCAAGGTCAAATTGACCCAGTTAACAGTTGAGTGTGTAAAGAAATTATGAAACTTTTGTTGAAAGAAAACGAAGAGTTTCTGAATGTACATTTAACGTTCCTAAATGCACTCTTATTATTTCTCTGATCATTGCTTTTAGAGTATAATATATTTGTGCTTGAAAATGTTTCCAAGTTGATGGACGACAAGAAAACATCTCACTGTTTGTTTGTAGTTCTGGCTCAAGTGGTAAGTTTCTTATATCATATTTTCCAGTTGTCTAAAGGAATAGAAAAGATATTCTTTTTTTCCAAATAGTCTTAGGGATAATTTATTTTGAACGAGTGTGTTCTGGAAGGAATAGTTTTTCAAACGCTCTGGAATAGTTTTTCTATCTTCAAAAGATTGGGGTAAAGATGTATAACCAACACCACCTCGATCGGAGGTTTTAATTTCTCTATCATATTTAGGGAAAAAAGAAGTAAAAATTTCTAATATAGGAACTGCCATTGTAAGTTAGCAATGTATGAGCCACAACCGTAGTTGCGTACACAAAAAATTTGTAACTCTTTAGATTAAATTTAGTGCAAATACAATTAATATAAATACTCTATTTCTTATAATATTTGTATCAATATGAATGTTACCGAGTCTAATACAATTATGAAAATAAGAATTAAGGATGTTGTACAACAACAATCACAAGTCTGATTTAGACAAGATAAAATATACGCAAAACATATCGTTATTATTATGAATTAGATAAACTGATTTTGATTCCGAAAAAATAAGTGATCAACATAAAATTATATTAGAATAAGAGACTAAAATAATAAGATAGGTTGTACCACTTAAAAGCCCTTTCATCATAGATATTCTCTTTCCATTTTCTACTAGTCTATAAGTAACATTTGTCTTATAAAAAATAAGGTAAAAGAAACTGAAAGAAATGAAATATATTTACAAAATAACATTGCTGTTGGTGCAACCTTCATCATCTTCACCAACCAACAAATCCTAAGAAGCTACACCCAATAAAAAATCATATATTAAAATTAAAGAAGTAGTCAACAAGCTAATTAATACATAAAAATATATTCCTCGGATACTAAATTACCAGTAATTGAACAATCAAATTTGATTAAAATCATATTATATAAATTTTGATGATTATTCATATCGCTCCATTTAAACTCATCGATCTGATTAAAAAAAATAAAAAAGTGTACCTGAGGGAACGAATGGCCATATGTTGAGAGAGAGCATGGAAGAAGAAATTAGCTCCATGAAGGAACATGACAACACCAGTACATCCTAGCACAAACAATTCAAACATCCTTAATTTTTGTTTTTACAAAAGATCATAAAACTAAAGAACAAATTGGGGACTGTTTGTTTGTAATGTTTGCAGATAGATATTTGATGAAAGAGAACAGAGATGTTTATCATAGTTTTACAGTGTGTGGGAGGGGGGCTTTTAAATAGAAAATGGACCAAACAGGGAACAAGTGAAAAATGAATTATTATTTTTTTGTTTTTTAGTTTAATGGGATAAATCATGGGTGGAAATGACGTGGACGTACAAATCTCAATTCACAATAATGCTGGCCTAAATGGGCTTATTTGATCCACTTTGTGAATTAGGCCCAATAATGATGGATCGTGACAATTTGAGCCCAACTTAATATTGTTTTACCTTTAACGTGTTACTTCTAGAAATTCCATACAATTCGGAGCTAATTTACATCCTATTCAGAAAGTTTTCATCGCAAATGATATTTAGTTAACGAGGGAAATGTATTCGAGAGAGTATATGAATGTATTCGAAAGGGATAGGGATGTATCTGAGAGGGAATAAGTATATATTCGAGAAGATTTTTTGTAATTTTTGTAAATGATAGAGAATTTTAGTGACTATGATATCTTAAAATTATGTATTTATGTAATTTTTCCTTTACATGTTTTTTTAAAGAAAAACCTTTGAAATGCTCATTTTTGTTTAATTATATGCTATATAAAGTTCATACTATATTTGATTAATTTATGATTAAATAATTATAATTTAATGTATTAATGAAACTTTTACATATTGAAAGAAATTTACGACGAGCACAACAAAAATAGTAAAGCATATTGTTGGAATAATAATTTGTCCTAGTATAAATAAAGATGTTCTTAGTCTTTTTTTATTGTGTAGAATTATTTGGGTATATTAATATAATATTTCTTCAAATATTCATAACGAGGAAAGGAAATAAAAATGAATGTTAAACTAATTATTGATGCGATACCTTTTCAACTAATTGTCCCTTTTAATATTTCAAATCATTACTTTTAAGCTACTTTTCTCTCCTCAATTTTTTTTTTGGAAAAGGATCAAATATGCCGCTAAACTATTTGAAAAAGTTTAAATATACCCCGTTTAAAGTTTGGTCCATTTATATCCTCGCCGTCCAACTTTTGGTCCCTTTTGAGCGTTAGTTGGCCAACTCGGAATATCCAACTCATTTTACTTTTATTTAAATGCCAAATAAATTTTCAACGTCATTTTTATGTATTATCACTTGACATTTATATTCAAGGGAAAG